GACAAAAAACAGCAACATAAGCAGAATATTATACGAGGAAGATTGCATTTAATATCTTCAATTAACATCGATTTTTATTTTAATTAATTTTCTCTACTTCGTTACATAGATTATTCATTGCCTCGAGTGCGACTACTTCTTTCAGCAGAAAATGTGCTACTAAGCAGCTACTTTAATTTCATATTGTACCGACTTGTAAAAGAGTAACTCGGGGAAATCAATTAAAATTCCACCAATCATAACTTGTTGAAAACTGCGTTATAATGCAGGCGTGATTAATTTTACCGGGAACACCAGTGAAAGGAGCAACTCGAGGCTGAAAACAATTTTGAATTAGTAACGCCTCGGATACGTAACGTCTTCGTTTCTGCTTCCATTGTCGCGAACACTGAAGAGAATGTTAGCCACTTTGAAGCCGACGTGACGTTAGATTTGAATTGGTAAGTCTCGGAAGGCACAGATTTCAGAATATCCCGCTCGGAATCGAGAATTCCCGAAGCCTAATGCATCTCACGAGAAACGTTAAATGTCCATTTTCAAGGTGTAGCAACCTCTTGAAAGATCTATCACTCGTTCCTCGACGAAACTTTGCATTTCAATCTGGTCAACTTTTCCTCTTCAACTCAAAGTTACTCACTTTTGCTAATTCAAAGTCGTTCACTGGAATTTTCGAATTAAGAAAGAAGAAATGATAGAAGTTAATATCATTAGATTAATGATGTTACACATTTTTTTTATGAATAAAATTGTCTCGCTAAATATTATAGAAATATTATAAATAAAATACTACAAGTACTATAAAATACTATAAATATTATGGAAAATAGTACTTTTAATATCGACAAAATTTCCTGTTTTTAAAAGTATTTTAAATAAATTTGATAAACAGCCTAATTATTTCTTATATCATTGCAGATAATCAGACAAGTTTGGTTTAAAGACAATTGTAAATAATTTTAGTTACGAAATAATATTATCAATTTAATTAAAAAGTAACTTTTGATAATTTAAACGTTGTATAAAATCAAAAAGCATCTTAATATTTTTATTGGGGATGTATAATAAATTCTCCACTAATTCTAAGAAAAGAACGATGAAATTTTATCAGCTTATTAATTTTAAACAACGACGAAACTGAGAAATTTAAAAAAACGCAGGAGGATTGAAGTGAAATTAAGAAGCTCAGAATTAAGAAATTTGTGAAAATGAAAAATAATTGAAGATAAACATATGGTATAGAAGAATTCCTTTTTTTATTACTGCAAGAAATAAAAAAATCTGACCAAGAATATGTTAGTTTTCGTTAATAATTTTAAAATTTTTTTTCTCACTTTTATTTAAAAATTTCACTTGTAAAACGAGACTCTTAACTTCCACTTGAAGTCAACCTTAGAATATTGAATTCTACGAACTCTGAAGTATCATTTTCCAAAGCTTTTGCTAAAAGAGCATCATCCATTTTGAACAATCTTTGAAGCGACGAAAGTTGATCGTCGATAAAGATAAATCTTTATATCATAGTGAATGTGATAGAACTTGGCTTGTGAAAAATATTCAAGTTTTTGGATTTACAAGCTATAAATCGTAAATTGTAAAAATTTTACTTCAATATTCAAAACTTTCTGTTTGTCTCCATTAAAGCAATTGACGGAATAGATTGCTGCAATTTATTTTTGTTATTGAAAAAGCTAATGACTTACGAACTCTTGAATACTTATCAATATTATGAAAATAAATCAATAATTTAATTTACAAGAATATTCAATTACGTTACAAACGTAAATGACTAAAAATTTCCCTTCTTATACATGCTTCATTAAATTATGAATAAACAGAAATAAATATATTTTGAATTATAAATCAAAAACATGTTTATTATTCCTATACTATTAACAACGCATAACAAACTTATAACAATTCAATATGAATAGAAAATTATTTGTCGTATTCGAATTATATATATTGTCATACATGCCAATGTATCATCCAGTTATTATTGGCATAAACATTTTATGAACGTAATATCACACTAAATAAATCAATTTTCAATGACATATTTATTACATACGTAACAATCTACATGAAACTATCAATAACATTAGATCGCTCTTAATATCACAATTTTGCCAGTAAAACTTCTCAATTTGATACTAACATTCTCGATAAGCATGTAACGTTAAAGAGAAGCATGAATGATTCTGTCAGATATCGTAAACGTTATAATATTCTTAAAGAGTTTTGCTTTTTCAATAGAACACGTGTAGCATTAAAGGGACGAACATCGATTTTTCAGATACTATGTCTGTAGTATTTAATAGCGTTAGTATGCATCTTTGACAAAGCTCTTGTTGTTTCCAACAAGATGTTTCAATGTGGTATTATTATCGTTCTGTGTAACCATCAACTTTCACGATTATATGAATTTCCACATCATTTCATAAATTTGATTCAGAAACTTGCTTGCTAAATGTTTTTATATAAAACTGGCATCGTTTTATTCTCATGGCACACCATTATATATTAGATAGCTTTGTGTGTTAAATTTTCCACTTTTCTTTCTTTCCAAGGTAATAAATTTTTTTTTTAGTTTAGTTCCTCCCTAATTCTAATGTACTCAATTCTTTGCTATTGTTTTATTTTGCAGAAAGCGAAGAGTCTGTAGATTTTTGTGAAATTTTTGGAAAGAATGAAACGTTGGGTAACCGAGCTGTGCTGCGCTCGACGAATGGCAGCCAGAATTGATATTTCATTGGTGCATAAAACCAGCATTGTTCCATTGAAAAAACTTGTCTTTTATTGATAAATTCTGAAGTATTCATCCAAATTGTTTTATTTTATTACATAACAGCTTTTTCCCATATTTATGTTGTTGAGCATTTAGATTATTCAATTGTTTACAATAACATTGACTGTAAAAAATTATTGGCGGTTTAATCGAGAATATAAAATATGCTTTTACCGAGAGTGTCAGT